ACAACTAAGAAAATAAAATTACAACATTAACAATAATAATAATAATAATAATAATAATAATAATAACAATAATAATAACAATAATAATAATAACAATAATAATAATAATAACAATAATGACAATAATTATAATAATAAAAATAATAATAATAATAATATGAATAAAAATAATAATGATAATAATAAAATAAAGAATGTTACAGTTATAGTGCATGATGCCAGAGAACAACAAAAATAATAATAAAAATAAAAATAATAATAATAACAATAATAATAATAAAAATAATAATGATAACAAAGATAAAGAATGTTACAGTTATATAATACATGATGCCAGAGAACAACAAAAATAATAAAAATAAAAATAATAATAATAACAATAATAATAATAATAATAAAAATAATAATGATAACAATAAGATAAAGAATGTTACAGTTATATAGTGCATGATGCCAGAACTTATATGTGCTTTACATAAACAAAAAATATGAGAGAATAAACAATGACATATTAACAGAGGGAATAAGTAAGCTAGACCAAAACCTGGAAAAACTGAAACATATAGAGATAAACAGATGGCCTTTCAAATTACATTTTAATGAATCTAGAGAAGTTGCCAACAAAGAAGAACAGGTCAATCTAGACTATAGATTTGCAAATATATTGACATATCCCCTTGCGGTGTTTCAGCAACTTCCACTATAAATTATCGGTTTGCTGTATGTCGTCACTTGACCGTTATGATAAGCCCCCTCCCCTTGAAAATTATGGCTAATGTCTTACAAAAATAATGACATACATTCAGAGAATTATAGCTGAGTGTATGTAGGTTGTGAAGCAGGCACGTGACCCTAGACACATTCACTGCAATGAATAACACATTCTGATTGGTCATCTCTTATTTAATTTAAAAATGGGTCAGTAAATTGCACTACTGGATGTTGTCTACAAATAAGTGTTAAAAAACAGAGGAATGTGTAGACTTTGTTTGTAGAGTCCTTCGGTGAATTGAGTCACTGGTTGCATTATATTAATCCTTTTTTAAACAGAGGTGTAAAATTCATACCTGGATGAGGGAGAAGGACTTTCGTAAAGACTTGTCCAGATCTAGCTCTTGCTGCTCTTCAGATTCAAGGATGTCTGAGAACTTGACAGCATCTTCATCTGGTGACTGCGGAGATGTTGCCAACCAAGGACTGGCATGGCAGGAACAAATCAAGACATTTGTTATCAGTCTGAGCTCAGAATGGATTTCCGTCAAGGGATTTGCGACTGAAGGGTGTCTATAGAATCTATTAATGTCTAATCTTATTTCCTTCTAACCAATGAGGTGATAATTGACCGGCCAAGTCACATTTACTTTTATTTACTTTCAAATCATGTCAACATAAGCTAATCTACTCTAGAATTCTGTTCTATTTCTTCCTCTAAGTATGTTAGGTTACAGAGTTCAAAATTTCTTTTTTAGATTCTATTTTTCATACATTTTTTTTTAAATGATGATATATTTTCACTTTAAAACAGAAGATTTTTTTTTTAGACGGGACATTTTTTATACCTTGTTTCTTTTAAAGATTGTCAGAGGAGGGCGGAAACAAAATGAAATTTCATTATTTAGTAAATAGTTTTACCAAAACCATCCAGACAGAGGAGAAAATAGAAATAAAATTTTATTGCTGAATGTAAACAGTGTAGTAATGGGATGGTTAAATGCCTTAAATTTATATAATTAGGAAGAAATATACACATCTTACTTTTAAAGCTTTCAACAAGGCAGCATCGGGTGTGAGTAAAAATTAAGAAAACCTTTTATGAAATTTACTGGCAGCGGGTGCACTAATTGGCCAAAAATAATATTTTATTTACATTTGAAATCATCATTGTTGGTGAGCAGTGGGTTTGCTAAACAAACTATAAAAAAGTTTTGCCTTGCATATAAAATTATTTCCCTTGCATACAAATATATGAGTACCAATTTTTCTTTTTGGCAGGGGGATTTTGTCTTTTATTTCCTAATTCTTGTTCAGCCATATAGAAAAATCATGCTTATTTTTTGTTCCATTAGGAATGGTCAATGTTACTAAAATTTGTTGTTGTTTTATGTTACTCAATTCTTGGTGCAATTATAATCTTTCTGAGATAGTTGGAACTGTTACCACTGCAAAATTATTGTTTTATTCAATTTAAACTTTGTTATAGTATATACTAAAATGATGTGCGAGTTTGGTGTTTGCTGGATTTTGTTTAAAAAAAAAAAAGGCCTACAGAAAATTGCACATGATTAAAAAAAGGCAACTAATATTGAACAGTTTGAAAAGGCATTTTGCTTACTTGATATGTTCAGGTGCAGCAGAGTTGGCTGGATCAGTAGATACTTGTGTATCAATTTGTAAACTTGGCTTCGATCTTCTTACAAGCCCCCAGCTGAAAGAAAAGAAGTACAGTTAATCAATTCAATCAAAAATGCGGACACAGGCAATTTTATTATGTGCAACATTATCTTCAGTGTTAGCCCAACTACAAGCCAATGGTGTCCTTAAACTGGCCTTCTCTGTTTCAGTTGTACTTTCTCTTAACACATGACTACTTCAAAATTTCACAATTTCATTGAGCAACTATCTCTTTCTGTGATGCCTTCTTATTCTGCTACGCTGCCGTCTCCTACATGCTGAAGAACCTGCTATTTAATGACTGTGATTGACTGTAGGTCGGTTGTCTATATATCTGGTCTACTATAAATTGATACAAATCATCACTCTTCTTTACAAAAGCAACATTTTTTCCCATTTTCCATGGTTTCCTACTTGTGCTTCCCATTTTGTTTTCTTTTTTCTTCATTCAATTGTTTCACTCCTTTTGCACTTTCTCATTTAAAGCAAGCTTTTGGCAAGGCGCATGCCAATGCAAGTTTTCCTTCTTTGATAATTTATATTGCCCATGAGCATTTATAAAACAAAAAAAAACAACTTTACTTGCCTCAGAATCTCAGTTCCACGAGTTGATGATGTGGGTGGTGAGGTTGCCATAGGAACATGGTGACTGACGGGTGCATGTTTTTCCTCATCAATGAGAAGTTCCCTAAAAGACTTGGTAGGTACACGCTCTGCTTCTTTACCCCTTTTTGTTTAAAGAAATTCATTACATAATTTATCATGACCACACAATATCATACTAAGAAACAATGAATGCAAACACTCATAGCCTCCTACTATTGCCTTATTACAGAGAACACTCTATCAATAAACATACCTGTGTGAGGAAATCTAAAAAAAAAACACCAACATTTTAACTTACAGTGTACATAGATTTACTCATTTCACAAGATTAAGTAACTGATTATATTTAACAGAATTTTCAGCATGAAAATCCTTAAAAATAATAACTCTTCAATTGATAGGCCTAAAAATATAAATATTTTATTTTATATATATTTTATTTATTTAAATACCAGGCAAAGACTACTGGTTCTGATGCTGTATCTTGCGCAGAAACTGAATCTGTTTTCTGAGACATCAAAAGCATTTCTCTCTTTCTCTGCTTCTGAGATTTCTTTCCAGATGGAGTAACAGCCTTTACTGGTGTCCTCTTGGATGCTGGTGATGTCTTCGACTGGAATTGCATGATCTCTCTCAAGCCATTCGGGTTGACAAGACTTTCTCTCTGTGGAGGGCTAAACAAACAATTTTAAATATTTAGTGCCAAACAAACAATTAAGTAGCCACTCACACGTTGCATCATTTTTGTATTACTAAGGTAACGCTGGAATTGAACGTACCTCTTCCAACCCCATAAGCCTGGCTCCAAGTCTGATTTAGACCTGTCACTAAAATCTTGTGCACCAAATCCTGCATCACCACTACAAATATTATCCATCTTTTGTACATTATCCTAAAAAACGAAAAAGAAAAAAATCTTTAAAAAAGTTCAAGTTTGAGTTCACTTTAATGCAATTATGTTATTAACACTCAAATTACATATCATGATGTATTTACTGTATACTAAAAAGATATAAAAAGTCATTAATAACAGAAAAAAGAAAAACACATCATCAGCCACATCTAGAGATTTTCATAAACAGCCTAAAAGCTGCAGGAAAATTATCATGATGTACTCTATATGCATTCAGATTATTCAAGAAAATGGGCTTGTTAAAAGTAATCTGCAGCCTGGAGATGGGCTTGTCAAAGTAATTGGCAGCATGTAATTGAACTTGTTTTTAAGTGGTTGGTAGTCTGATAGTGAGCACAAATTAATAAAAATAAGAGCCATAAACATACATTTCTATCGATGATGGATGTGTTCACATTTGGTGATACTGGGACTTCAGGGGAGGTAGGTCTTACATTCTGAGTAACACCACCATCTTGCTTTTGTATTTCACAAGTATCACTCTTCATCTTATCTTCATTTTCCGATTTTTCATCAACAGATTCACTAATGGAACAACTTGTTTTCCTTGTACTTGCTCTTCTTGACTTCCTACGGGCTTTTGCCTTTCGTGCTGCTTGCTCCTGGGTCTGGATCATGTGGAAATCTTCCAGGGCTTCTGCATTTCTATCAGATGTCTCTGCATTCCCATCATCTTCTGATGGATATTTGTCAAAGAGACTAAGGTCAGGAGCATCAGCATATGGAGTAATGATTCTTCTTGACATTGCCGGTATCTGTGAGAGAAGTTCATGCGTAATGTTCTTTGACCCAAATAAATGAAGTTAATTAATAATTAAATCAAGCAAATTACACAGTCTTATTGTAATGTGACAGAGGAAAAGCAACATTAATGTAACAGGAACCAACTTTTGTTGGGCAATTAAAGTTCCTGGTCTGGATATCTGTCCATCCACCTCATACATCTGATTAACAGATATGCTTCCTCCTATTGTCATATAACTATATACTGTATGGTATATACATATGAACATACGCAAATGTCTTATGCTAGAAATAAATGTTTAATATGTTTAACTGGTTGATAATATTCTTGGTTTTATGTACATTTTAGCTTATCTATTGCCTTCTTTCATTTTAAAGGAATTATATAATACCTTTTCTATGTAATTTATAAATATATACTTTAAACTACACGTTGGACAATAATTATAGATCAGACTATAAAAATAAAGGTTATGATAAGTCTTCCTGACAGATCACTATTCATTAACATGTCTCAGTACACATACACTGTTTGGCCTTGTCACTTGTGTTTCTCCCATTGCAGTTATAATGTAGCTTAAGTAACAATAAAAATATAATATTCTATACTGAACTGAACTGCATTGCTCTCACCATTTCTTTATACGACTTAGTAAGCTCATCCATCACAGGGTTACTGAGGATATCTAGGGCTTGCGATTCTATCATCACTGGTAGGTTGAGACATATAAACTGCTGGCAAGTCTTCATAAGCTGATCAGCTTGGTATACAGATGAAAACTCCAGCAATTCAGCTGCATTCTTTAAAGAAACTGTAGCAACAAATGTTCAATATAGAATGTATTTTGTGTAACACATTATATTTTATAGTTTAGTTGTTTTTAGTCATAGGAAATATTAAATACAGTAGAAACCCTCGTTTGTGACACCACTATTAAGCCAGGTACTCAATCCGTCGTACAACGGTCAAACGACTGTTGACCGACAAAACAAACTCTGCTCTCTGTGGGTGCTAGATGCCGAGACGTTGTCTGCTGATTGTCGGTGGCAGCCAACGACCGTTGAGCGAAGTGAGTGCCCGGCATTAAAAGGACACCCCTATTAAGGGGACACTTTTTACGGCCCCAATGGTGTCCCCTTAATAGGGGTTCTACTGTATAAACAAATAGACAAAATAATTAATAAAATATAGAAATAAATATAGATAAATGCAATTTGCTGAATACAATTTAGAATAAAACCAAATGGATAAGTGATTTACAAACTTACTGAGGCTTGTAATTGCAACTTCACAAAGCTCTTTTAGTCTTGTGATCAACAGTTGGTCTGCAACAGTTAGCAGATTGCAGAGGAACTCGATATCATGGCAATCTCTCAATTTGGCTGCTTCGTCTGTGTATAGGTAATCCAGAATCACTCTCAAGGCTTCACTTGGCATCGGAAGCTTCAAAGCAGTTTTGCTTGAAGTCTAGAAGAAGTACAATATACTTTTGTAAAAACAACATTAAGAAGTCGTCTATCTCTCACAGGGAGCGGCGTTGGATTCTTTGTGCAACAGGCAGTGAGTGCCAGGCATTACAAAACAAAAACAAAAAACAGAAATATGAACATTAAAACAAAACTTACAACATAACCTTCACTTATGTTGAATATGATAATGATATAGATGATCTTTATGAAGATGGTCACTTCAATGATAATGGCATACCTCTATCCAATCACTGGCTAGCATGCTGTTGAAGTACTCCAGTCTGGCCACCAATATGCACTTGTGACAACGAAACGTAGTACCACCTTCGGCTTCCAGGATGACATCCGACAGATAGGAACACCGATTGCGGTTGTAACTTAACTTCTTACCGCTCTTCTTGAAGTGCAGCTGACCATTTTGAACCTTGACACCATCCAATCTATTAGGATATTTAGTGAGAGGTCAAATAGTGTGAGATGTAAGAATTGCAAATAAATGATGTATCTTTCAAGTTTTCTCTGTCAAATTTAGATTTTCCATTCCAAATGTGTCAACAATTTATTGCTAGTTGTTTCTAAATATGAGGCGTGCAATCCCAAAACCAGCGTACTGTCACTAAACGTTAAACTGAGTATTTAAAATAAGAATGTGGCATTATAGTATACTTTAGTACAGAGAAGCGATTGTACTTTTTCTTGTAACTTTGGCAATAGTATGTCGATTCCATTAAATGACCCATCATTTTAAAGCTTGTAATGTGGAGAACATAAATATATTAAAAAGTCTATTTTCTTGTTTTTGTCACGGATGCTGGTTTTGGCATGGCAAGCCGCACATATAACAACAATTAGAATATTAAAAACAATTATATACCTTTGAACTAATTGTGAAACTTTAAACTGCTTAGCTGCATTTTGAAGAAGCTTGACTGGCAACACCAGATCATCATTCCCTTCATTTGCTTGGTTTTTCTTCTGTTTTCTTCCTTCTTTCTTCTTTGACTTTCCAGCTTTCTTTAATTCCTGATTCACAGCATAAGCAGACTTCTTAGCATCAATGGCGATATCCTGAGGTTCAAGCGACCTGATAGGTTCAAACATACCCTGACCTGTACTCTCACTTACATACTTAAATTCCGGCTTGAATAAGTCGCACTGATCCTCATAGATGAACTGCAGAAGGAGATCGAGTATCGGAGCCGTGATCATGTGACCAAGGGCAACAACATCTGATGATTCCTGCATCAGGATGTTTGAATCCTTTGGATCTTTATCTTCCTTTTCTGTCACTTCTTGTAGGAACAGTTTCCTGAAGTATTCTGAACGAGTTGATAGGATGTACTTATGGGCTGGCCACTGTCTGGAACCCACCTTAAAATATAATATATAGAAATCTTAATTGCAAAAGTACATCATGCTTACAATTCTATAATGAACTCTGCATTCATTTGGATATTGCATGCATGGATTCAAGTGTTATTCTGCAAAATATATTTTCTTTCTTTGTAATTTTATCATCACATTATTGTTGCTATCACCAAAACCATTACCATATCATCATAATCATCATTATAATCATCATCACCATAACCATCACTATAATAGAAATGATCACCGACATAACCATCAACATCACCACCACTACCATTAACATTGTCATCACCAACATCATCACCAGCATCATTTAGCAGAAAGGCGAGAAAGACAAGACAATTTTACACACATCATACGTACTATATGCCTATTAGAAATAGTTATTGTACAAACAAATCTGTTATAGCCTGTTTCAGTCAAGTTTTGACTTTCCAAACAGTTTTTGAAGCAAAGCAATCTAGGCCTAGGTCGGCAAAAAAATGCCGTCCTGTAGCAATTCTCGCTCGGCAATATGGTCGGCAATTGCCGATTGCCGACGTGAAATTCATGGGCTGGTCATCACCACCATGAACATCAGCATCAGCAGCACAACCATCAGCATGACCACCATCAGCATCACCATCATTATCACAATTATCATCACCATAACACCTTATCATTCTACATTATCATTGTCAGTGTACGTTTGTATAATAATTACTTACTTTTAATATGACATCATGTATGTTATTATAGGAATTCACTTCTTTGAAAAGTGCTGCAAATTCTTTTGTCATAACCGATGCTCTCACTTGTGGAATTTCAACCAAGCTATAAGGAAATATTGATTAAAAAATTGATATATATTGAACAAATATTTTCTGGGTTGAGGGGCATGGTTCAAATTATAGACCTAGGTGATCTGGAGGCTGTATATTTCCCGAGATGAAGTCAAAATGATTTGTTGTAATTATGTTCATTGTGGTTAAAATGACATACAATTAATTTTGAAAATCCAAAAGTAATAATTGCTTTCGATTAGGTGCCGTCGTATAATCACATACCTTGTCTTGGGATCAGATTGTAGAAAAGCAAAATTCTTCCCAGATTTATCGGATGCCACTTGAACACCCCTATGGATAAATGGAATCCTCTCCAGATGAACAAGCTCAACCTCCTCCTTCTCAGCATGTTTAGTTCTCACAGCAACAGAAAATGCATCAGGAGATGTCGAGGGCACAACTTTAGGTTTTAAATCTTTAAAATAGAAAATATATTAATTATTAATTATTAATTTGTTTATTTTATTCTATTGTTACTAATTATTTATCATATATGCAACAGGTACAATTTTCAACATGGCATCAACATGGCAAATTTTGTATTTGAATATCTAGATATACAGTAGGTATATAATTTTCTGTAAAAATGTTTTCAATTACATTTTTTTTTTATTTGACAATAAATTAAATGTGAAAATGGATCTATGTACTCCACTTACATTTACAAAAAGTATCTTTTAAAAGTTATCTAAATCTAAACATATATTAACATGCTTTATTTATGTTCAGTGATTTTTAACCTTACCTCTCACTGTATGACCTTTCTTTGACATGAACCCCAGGAACCCTTGGCCTTCTGTTGTACAGATGATGATACCTTGTTTATTAATAGTAACGTCAGATACAAACAGCTGACACTTGACATCCCAGAGACATCGCTTTAAACATTTGTCAGCTACCTTCCACACAAATACCTGAAAGTTGACAACATTATCACTTATATCATCAGTTATGTTTTGTATTACAGTAAAAACTAATTTTAATTATTTCAATTCAATTTATTGACAATCCAATAGCCTTCAATGGCTATTATCTAATAAAATGACAATATACACAGTGGAAGATCCATGGATTGAAAATAGAGGGGCCCAGGAAGGGATTTTCACAGAAGAGGGTCTATCAAAGTCTGACCATGGTTGGAGCTGAGGTAAGAAGATTTATCATAATGGCACCTCAGATGGCCGGAAATGGCACTCTCAGACTTAAATTTGATTTCTTTTTGTCTCTTTTTTATTTTGAAAAAAATTTAGGGTGGCCCAGGCCGGCTGGGCCCCCCTTGAATCCGCCACTGATACTTCAGATTCTCATATGTTAACTCATCCCATGGACACCCAACAGAAAAAAAAACTGATAAGAAGTTTGAAAATAGCTAAATTCTCTATAACATAGTATGATTAGTTTTACCTTTTAGTTGGACAATAAGCAGCATTAAGCCGGAGAGAGTACAATATTGATAGGTAGGAAGCTGAACTAATTGATGACAACCGGGGCACAGAGAGTGGATATCAGAGGGTAATTGGGCAATTTCGTAGAGGGTACAGAGAAGAAAGAAACAGTCATTCCAAAACCAGAGAATATTATATATGATTTTCAAGTAATTTAATGTTGTTTTTAGTCGATAAGTTCAAATTACATTTCTGTTTTTATGTGAATGGACAAAAAAGAATTACTGAGATTGAGAATTGATTAAGTATAACTTACAGTGCCTGATGTAGTAAGTGCTACAACTTGGAGATCCTCACCACCTTGTTTTTGTAACATGCTCTGTTCGCTATCTGAATCCAAGTGCCCACCAAACACTACAAGTTTCTTAATGTTTAAACACCTGCAAAAGCATCATAATTAATATGAATAGTTATGATATTTTAAGTAATATAAATGTATGTTTTTATATTTATATAGTATTTAGTGGCTTCCCTACAATTAAGGTATACCCACATGCTTATACTGACGTCCCTCAATAATAAGGAATAAAGAAAGTTTAGCTTTGTTGCACTCAGCTAGACTGACCAAAAGCACCTCTTATATCGATTGCACTATGCAGGAGTCGCAAATTGAAAACCAGGCCTGAAAAAAATATTTTTGTGCCTCCGACCATGAAAATTTTCTTGATCAAACGCCTCCAGCACCAAACGTTATCTTTACACTACTATAGAGTACTACAGTGTTACATTAGGATACCACATGATACTACTCTGTTGCCATCATGGCAAAATGCATTCAACCAGATGCCATTTTCTCCACTGACAAACCATTGATTCCAATTTCTAATGTAATGTTGTATCTTAGTTTTTCTTTGTAAATTTTAATTGATTATTAAGTGTGTGTTCGATAAGTAATATAATGCGAGCTTTTGTTTTTAGTACATTTTGATGGTAAAATATTAGATTTTAAAATGCCTATTCCAGAAAGCCTATGAAGTCATTCTGGCGTAATGAACGGTAACTAACGTCTGGTTGGCAACAGAGGGCGCTACCTGGCATTATGACGACACAACTGTGGTACTCTATAGCTAAACAGTAGTACATTTAGTGATTTGGAACAAGTACAAATATAAATTTAATTACTGGTTTGCATTAAATTGTGATGTGTAACAAAAACAAAAAAAAAGTTTTTTTGTCTAAAATGGTTTTGGGATAATGGTCAATGCATCCGACCGCCGGTCGCGTGGTCATGCACTTTTTCCAGCCCTGTTGAAAACAATCCCATCTGGGAGATCTGGTTAAATAAGCTTTCTTAACATATTTTCCTGCACATATTGATACCCATCGGCACTGCGAAACAATTGAGTGAAGTAGTAAAATTTACATGCAAGCAAATATTAAGAATTTGTTGGAGATGGGTTATTTTCCGAGAGGTTCTTACTTGCTTGCGAGAGTGCAGGAGTCCGTCCCAATTTCCGGTAGACTCCCGCGCCTTCCAGGAGCCTTGGAACCAATGCACTATGACAGGTGTTCTTGTAAATCTACTCTAAACTGTAAACTATAAAGGGTGCACAATTACAAAAACAGTATAGCGTATAAGGCAAGCCTTACTTGGATGCAATTTTTCTGCATTGGTACTCATGCAAGGCGTAAATATCTCCTTTAGTGGTGGCACACACGGTGGCAGCATCACTGGTTGCTAGGGCACAAATCTTGACATCTTTATGATGTAGTGATGTCACTTGCCTTGGATACAACTGATACTTATCATCTTTGGGGTGTCCTAAATTGATTTAAAGATAATACTGTATTTATATATTTGTTCGATTTGTATTTATATACATTATACATACATCATATATGTAAATAAGTGTGTATGCTTTACTACTAATATTGTATGTGTTACATAAGACAAAAATTATCATTATCTACAGTTTTATAGTTGTTTGTAAAATAATTTATTTTACATAAAAATTCATGAATTGTAATTCATGAAGCACAGTAGTTTATATATTAGTACCTAATACAGTTTGATGATAAAATAAAGTTTTCTTTCTTTATTAAATGGCCCAATCTCACCTAACTGACCAGCATTCAGGCCGAATGTGTAGACTGCATCATTAGAGAAGAGAACAGTATGGAACCGCCCAGCTGCCACTCCCACGATTACTTTGCCTTTGAGATTCTTCAAAGAGATTGGTTTTGGGATGTGACAAGTGATTCCAAGGGATAGGCCTAGTTGATGATAGTCATTCTGACCACAAGTGTACACCAAGCCACTAGTTAAAAAAGACACACAATAACAGACTAAAGCACATCAATAATGTCTGGAAAATTTCCCATTCATATATTGGGGTGAACCTGTACCTTTATCTTTTATAGAAGTATCAAGTGTCAATATTTATTTACTTATACGTAATTTATAATATTATACATGCCGAGAAACCATGGAGGCAGAGCCTGTGTTTGTGGTCCCAGATCTAACCTAACCAAATAATATATCTTAGCTACATAATTAACTAATTAATTAATCAACCAACTAATCAACAAATTAACCAATTAATTGACTAACCAATCAATCAATCAGAGGTCCACCCTATTTATGCATGCCATAGGAGGGTCTTATTTCTCATGTCTCAAAAACCTCAATAATTAGAAAGTTATACACTATACATGTGAAATGAATTCATAAAAAAATATATTTAAAATTCTAATGCAAAAAATATGGTAGTATTGATGAAATTATGAAAAGTTACACTGCCTTTGCTAATAAAACTGAACATTAAACATTCATACGTGAATATCTTATTATCTTATTAGCTTACAATTAAAAATCATCCATAAATGGATAATGAGTTATTATTGTATTTATTTCAACTTACCCTTCAAACAAGAAAACAATGTGGTCTCTTCCAGCTGCTACCTGAATGCACTTCATCTCTGCTACGCCCTCTATCAGGTGAGGTACAAGATAGGTATGCTCATCTTCCAGGCCAAGTCTACCACCCTGTCCATGTCCACAAGTCAACACTTTACCACAATGCGTCAGAAATATTGTGTGAAACTTGCACATAACAATCTGAAAAACATATAAAAAGTAGGTTGCTTATCAAGATACTTTTATTTTGTGAAGTTTTTTTAGGTATGGTAAAGCCAGTTACTTCACAATTTTCCGCTTTTATCTTAATTGCTGTAAATTTCGTCCACATTCAATACAGTATCTAGAATCATAATTAATTTTTGTGTCCTATATATCAATAACATACACAGGTATCAAATTTCCTGACAGGATTTTTTGACTGCATCTTGTGAGCTTCATTGTACCTGTTTGATACTGAGTCCCTTTTTAACTAGTTCTTCAACTAGTTCTGGGTGCTTTCTTGAATGTTGGTTACTATGCCCGAGGGTGAAGTTGGTATTAGCTCCCCATGTGTAGCACTCAGTTGGCCCTGATGCATTGTATTCAACATAGCTAGGCTGGTCCTTCATCACAAGATCTAGTGGAGAAAGTCCTTCAATATCATGTTTATACAGGTTGCAACCACACTATAACAAAAAATCAGAGAAATATGCTAAATTAGTTATAAATGTGCAAATAATTTGTAATTGAATCTTAAAAATTATTAATTAACTTTGTTTTTATTGTTAAAAATTACAAAATTGTGCTAAAAGACTTTCATTTTTAACCATTTTTTATGTACTTAATCTTCATTCTCATCATAAGTAGGGCCTAATACTATTGATTAAAAGGAGTACCAGGCCAACAAGGTAATAATGATGTGATAATATTATGACAGGTGATAATTATACCATGCTTTGTCCACACAACTGTATAAAATTGTATGTCTATATGACCATGGAGGAATAGTTCAGACTTAATTTAGTTTCTAAACTAATTCCTCCATGATGTTACAAATATGTAATTTGACCATTGATTGGGCATAATGTCATATCACATCAATGACATATCAGGTATCACATAAATGTGAGTGAGGCCAAAGCTTTAGGTTTTGGGAGAGGGGAAATTTTAGAAAAAAAAATTATAGACAATTTTAATTGAACCCAGGGCTGGGGGAGGGGGGAGGAAATCACATTGAACTTTGAAGCTAGAGCTCCACCACTATATTAATGCCAGTGGCGGTTAGATATTTACTCACATTAGCTAACAACACAGCAATGTTTATCTGACCATAGAACAGACTGCGGTGGAGTACTGTCCATCCTGATTCAAGGTCTCTGGACTTGAGCTCTGCATGCTTCTGTGTAATCAACCAATCAACAACCTCCAATTTGCCACATGATGCAGCAATATGCAAAGCGTTACGACCAAACCTATCGGAAACTTGAGCTCCATTGGTACACCTGATCTCCAGGAAGGACTTGATTTGGTGAGCTGTGCCATGTGTTATCACTGCGATAATATCATCAGCGTGTTCTGTACAACGACAGTATGCAGAACACCGTGCTTGCTTTCCAATCAGATCCATCTTTGGAAATGTTAAGAGTCTACCACAAACACTGGGTTTTTGTCAAGGTTCTTAGCTCCACAGCTTATGAATTAAATTACCAAATACCAGTCTGTTTCAAATTTCAACAACCTACAGGTATATACTGCAACTTTTCACAAGACAATTAAACTATGTGGAGGTCTGGTAAAGTACAGTCCCAGCTTTAGCTGAATCCTAAGAAATCTGTCGTTCATGTGCTTTCTTCTTATTCCTTCTGAATAACCCTTCTGCATATCATATCCTTCTGGAAAGCCCTCTCGTCTTCTGCCTCACAGGCACAAGCCTGCCATGATTGTTCTTTTAGGGCTTAAACTTCCATAATTGCAAATTGAATATTCTGAGGGGGAAAGTAAAAAAGTTTAGTCATACACCTGTACATTACTTATTTAACTATCCTTCACGATCAAAAATCAAAATCTGGCACTATTATAAACATTATTCTGTATATTGTCCATCTTTTCTCCAGGCATTTCAGTTGGTAAAATGGTAACCACAGGTCTAAAATGAATAAATAAAACTTGGACTCCATTGGTACTTGGCTCCCAAGTACACACACAGGCAGAAGCCGAGAAAGATACACCTGTGTGATGACATAACCTTTCCTTCCATTGTGAATGTGTGCAGATGGGCACAAGCCTGGGAGTGGAAGGTGAAAATGGAGATATACTGGGTCAACCCTTGTCCTTCACAGGCAGTGTAGAGTGGGTATTGGCCTAGCCAGGCAAAAGGGAAAGGAAGGGGGGGGGGGTAGCCTACCTTGCCTAGTAGAGAGGGCCTAAGGCCTACTGTAGGCCTAGATAGGCCTAGTAGTAGTACTAGGTAGTAGGTAGGGCCTAGGAAAATTTCAATTTAGCAAACTATACCTTATCAAATGTAAAAACTATCAGTGTCGTTTGCAGATCGGAAAGCAATTTTTGACAAGTAAGATTCGAACATATTAAACAGATTGTTGGTGGCATACAATTTTGAAGATTCATCCATGATTAAACGTACAGCAATAAACGTCTACCAACTTCAAATTGTTCATGTGGAACTTTCTTTGAACGGACCCAATAATAGCCTTTGACACGAGGTCGAATTGTGACTAATGAAGCATACAGGCATTGGTCAGTTGGTTTTCATTTATTCCAGTATCCAGTATCCTGTCGGAAATCTAGGCCTAGAGGGCAGCATAATCGAATGTAACGTTCGAACTTTTCCAAGTGTACTAATTTCAATTTGTTGTTGCTGCACGATGTCTACACGGATTAAAAAGGTACAAAATTACAGGAATAATAGACCTATGTACAGTAATTTATTTAGAAAAACTAATATTAGGCACAATTTTTACAAATTTTCAATTATTGCGATGCTTCGCTACAATCATGGGCCTTAATACATTTCCGAATTTATTGACAACAGTGTTTCTCATGATACTGAGAAAATTGTTTTATCGCAACTGTATTGTCTATGGTCTGGGTTATACTATATAAAAGATTCTCCACAGTGATTTTCAGTTTACATAATATTGCCTTCTTGATTGATTAAAGTTGGTTGTTGATCGATCTTTTGATTCCCTACTAGGCCTAGGCCCACTAAGTTGATTTATTGATGTGCGAAACTAGCCTAGTAAACACTTCGGATAGTCTCTCACAGGCTAGTATATTAGGCATACTTATGATGAAAATAAAAAGCATAAAAGAAAATTATTGATGAAATTAGGAATCAATGATGCCTAATAATATCAAGTTTACCCAGGCCTAGATAGTTCATTCACTACATACGGAGCATTATACTATTAGTCAGTGTCTTCCGGTCAGAAAGACATCGGCGTAATGTTTCCAACGGAAATGTCTAGGCCTAGTGCATAACCTTCGTTACCCAAATAGATTTAATGTACTAAAATCTAAAACAAACAGAAAATTCACTGATCCCATATCTAATAATGAAGCTTAATAATATTGTAATTGAATATCCTTTATACAGTAATTTTAAAAAGTAATTGTCCCGCCATACTATTTTGCTTGAATGAATGAATGAACTATTATTATTATTATTATTATTATTATTATTATTATTATTATTATTATTATTATTATTATTATTATTATTATTGGGTCCTTTTGTTGTGAAAGTTTTATATATTTAGATCTATTTTTATAGTATTAATATTGTAAATAATGTTGTATAGACCTATAGTAAATTATTGTTCATTTTTGTAATTGTAATTTTAATTGTATTTCAATGTGCAATCTCTTGTAGTAACTTAACAGCTTTATTGTAATTGCAATTTTTTGTAATACCAAGAATTAGCCTCATGCTGCCGTTTCTGCATTTATCATTTATACCGTAATAAAGTTAATTAATATAATTATATTATTGATTTGTTTAAATAAATTAGAGTGAGAATTCCAGAACTAAGATATTACATTTTATTTAATTATATTTTTATACCTTCCAGACTGGCCCACCGGAGGCGGGCGCGTTTCGTGAAAGGCGAGCAAGATCATCAAATGTTTTTCGAATGTTTTACGATCGTGGCGATTTTCCAATAACTTTAATTCACGATTCAAAAGGAAATAAAATTGCTTGGAACGTAAGAAATACATTATTCCGAAGCATTAATAATATAGGCCTTATATAATATGACGGTTTTGAATATTGTCTTATAAACGAAATAATATGCACAAGTTCTGATTTTTAAGATGCAATATTATGACTCTGAGTTATTTATATTTATATGTCTCAGATTGAAATAGAGCGCCTGGACTATCATCATTATCTACCACTGTTCTTTGATGGCCTCTGTGAAACTGAACATCCGTATGCCTTCTTCGCTTGTCAGGGAATCAGTGACTTACTTGAGCATAGCATCAACCAAGTACTGCCAGTTATTCCTCAGCTTATAGTCCCAATAAAAAGTGAGAGATGAAATTAGTGGGGGATCCACGTAGGAAAAGGCGCGGACACCCTCTCCAATCCCGGCAGCAGCCTAAAAATCAATGTGTAAAATTATTTAGATATACGGGAGTAAAATATATAAAAGTCCGATGTTTTCAATACAGTATATGGAATACCCCAAAACCTATCTTCTCTCGGCCATAGGTTTTGGACACTTCGGACCATAGGTCATTGCTAATCGCGCCACCTTTAGATTCTGGATTCGCCACTGTAAATGTATTGATACTACAGTATATATCTGAAAAATATTTTTTTAAAAATTACTGGCGTTCTCATGTAAACGTTTGGAATAAATCGAACGGAGCACAGGTTGAACCAATTCATTTTAGTTGATGTGTGCCATATTGCAATTAAACATATCCCATGCAAATTGCAAGATGATTAATTTGCGTTGATCGACATTTTCTCGTTGTTTTTTTATTACTTTTTTAGATGCATTAAATACGAGAAAGAAAACGATTGTCTGCCGGACGTTAAAGATACTGCAACAATTAGTGGGGTCGGAAGAACTGATCGGAGAAGCACTTGTTCCCTACTACAGGAACTTGCTACCAGTATTCAACATATTTAAATCTATGAACAGTAAGACGATCAATCAATTTATGGGGGCGAAAGATATCCAGCCTTTCGTAATTTTTTTTTATTGGGCCTGGTATATTTTTTTTCAATTTTAATTTTTTATATAATTATTATGTAGAGTAATTTAGTGTTACAGGCCCATTTATTATAACGGATTCAGTTTGTTGGGGAATCAGGCTTGATTAGCATTTTTTACATTCGAGACTAAATGATGCTAATATTGATTTTCTCATTGATAAAATTTTCCTGCAATCAGGTAACTCGGGAGACGCTATTGACTACAGCCAACATAAACGGCAAAACATCGGAGACTTGGTGCAAGAAACGTTGGAAACTTTGGAACGCAATGGTGGTAACAATGCTTTTCAAGGCATCAAGTACATGATACCTACATACGAATCTTGTATTAAGTCCCAAAACACGAGGTAGATAAAATGACGTAAAACTCGACCTGTCTCTTATACACATCTAGATGTGTATAAGAGACAGGTCTCTCACAGGCTAGTCTAATTCGAGACCCCTCTTATTTGAGACCCCTCTAATTCGAGACCCCTCTTATTTGAGACCCCTCTAATTCGAGACCCCTCTTATTTGAGACCCCTCTAATTCGAGACCCCTCTTATTTGAGACCCCTCTAATTCGAGACCCCTCTTATTTGAGACCCCTCTAATTCGAGACCCCTCTTATTTGAGACCCCTCTAATTCGAGACCCCTCTTATTCGAGACCCCTCTAATTCGAGACCCCTCTAATTCGAGACCCCTCTAATTCGAGACCCCTCTTATTTGAGACCCCTCTAATTCGAGACCCCTCTAATTCGAGACCCCTCTTATTTGAGACCCCTCTAATTCGAGACCCCTCTAATTCGAGACCCCTCTTATTTGAGACCCCTCTTATTTGAGACCCCTCTAATTCGAGACCACTTTAAGGACCAAATAACAATTGTCAATCTTTAAAAACAAAACTGACCCTCTAATTGGAGACCGAGTTCCGAAATCACCCAAATTTGTTGGTCCCAAAGGTGGTCTCGAACTGTATGACTAATAACATTAAAAATTATAAATATTTTAACTGTATTTCAAGGTAAAATAGAGTAACAGTAATTTAAAATAAATATAGTGGTATTGTAAAAGAAAGTTAACATTAAATCATATTTACCGTCCATTGGGGCCAAAAAGATTACACTTCGGCGAGGAGTTTCTAGGATTGGGAGTCACGCTTGCTGCCCTCGGAGTCCTAGCTTTTATAGGTGTCCGAGAGTAAAGAGATAAAAAACTGAAAGGAAAGCAAGACAGCAATAACAATTACATTGTATAATACTGGTTGCATAAATTCAATAGAGAGTTCTCAAAAGGTTGCCCTCTGTTGTCACTGCCGGTGCTGCAACCTTTCCGGGGTCTCCCCTCATGCATGTCATTAGAATATAATGAGCCAACAATATACTGTACATTCATACAGTACCATCATCATCATCATCATCATCATTTATTTAAGTCAGTTTTCTTCCATCTTCCAAGGGGTTACTGACTGTCACTCGTTCCATGCAGCTACACCATCTGTCCACTTCTTCCTGTCTTGTGCATCATACTCCTCCAAACCAATTTTTGCACTTTCTTTCTTCACCATATCTTTCCACGTCACCTTTGGCCGCCCCCTTACTCTTCTACCTTCAACTTCTAGATGCCAGGCTCTCTTTACTGGATCACCTTCGTCTTTTCTTAGCACATGACCCATCCATCTCAACCTCATAACAACCTCCACAATTGTTTCACTTAGACCTAGACGTTCCATAAGCTCCTTTGTGTTCCTTCTTTCTGCCAGCTTAACACCACACATTTTTCTTATCATTGCTCTTTCTGTTCTTCTCAAAATTCCCTCTTCAGCCACACAGTACCATGGCCAGCTCATTGAACTTAGACCATCCAACCCTACTTCTCCATGCCACCGCAATTTCACAACCGCCTCCACTATTAAGTGTATCCCCAAGATAACAAAAACGGTCCACTCTCCCAATCTCCTGCATTCGTTGTTCCACCACCTGGTCTTCAGCCTCATTACTCTTGTCTCTCTTACACTTCTTGCATTTAAAGCTCTCCGCCATTATTTACATTATTAGCAGATAATGCATGATAATGCTTTCCAACGAAAGTCGCCTGGTTTCTGGTCAGAATGAGGGTGAATAATGACGATATAAAGCCAGTCACTCACTGCGTGGTACGACTGTCGTCTGACAAATCCAACTCTGCCCCCTGTAGGCCTTAGACGACACACACTTTCGCCTGCTGATTATTGATGGCAGTTTTAACGGATCGTCATTAAAAACGATCCGTTGCACTCGTGGTGTTGTGTTCAGTTGGGGACAGTGAGTGCCCAGCTAAATATGAGATGTACTTACTTTGATGTAGAAAAATTGTAAACTTTTGATTGGTCCTCTTCACTCGAGAATGAACTGTCATTCAAAAAGTGCCCTAAAGAGCTGCTGTTATTGAAACATTCATCTGAGAAAGAAGTGAATTATCAGCATATAAGGATGTTTACTGAGTGGGGGGGCAAAAAAGAATTTTCACAAACATTCACTTAAAAGTAAGAAGAAGTAAATATAAATTTGGTAAACAATAGGTTACGTGGGGAGGCCGAATAGCCACAGAGCTATAGCCAATGGCTAATAATTAGCCTTCCCCATACCTAAACTTAATCTATAAACATATAGGAGATAATGAAATATATAAATAAAATGCATACAAGTGAGTAACGACTCATACCATCACTGAAACTTAAATCCCAATCTTTTTTGTACTGCTGTTTGACTTCTTGTTTCTCTGGTGTAATTGAGGTCTTTTTATGGATGACTCTACCAAGTGTTAGAAACCATATGAATATCAATAACGAATGTAAGAATGAAAAAAAGAGCTGGACTTTTGAAATCTGAAAAAAATAAAATAAAAAGACAAATATAATTCTATCAGTAGCTGTTTTAGCACCTGAAAATAACATTAATTATACAAATTATTCATTTCAATTAAGAATTATCAATTATTCCATACAGAAAATCTAATATTAAGATACTGATACAAATTAATGCTATGCAACCTCCAACTCCACTGCTCCCCATGAGCAGTGGAGTTGGAGGTGCTGTCTGCTGATTGTCAGTGGCAGTTTGAACGGACCGTCATTAGAAACGAATCCACTGTGCGAGTGGCGTAGCATGTCATTCCGGGCTCAGTGATTGGCTGGCTTAAGTGTTCACCACAACATGTTTAAATTTAAAAGCCAAGGATGCAAGAACGGAAAAAAACGTACCCAATTTGTGATAACAAGCATCCTACGTCGTCTCCTCCATGCTGTTTGAATGGCTGGTCTCTGAAGAAGTTCATAAACATTAGGTCTTAGTTGTGGGTCAGGGTTCATCATTTCCTCTACAATCTCCTTCAAGTCGGGTGAAACACCTTCTGTTATTTCGTCGGGAATTTTTCCGCTTCGGAGTTCGTGCCAAAGTTCACCATTCCGAGGTAGGTCTAAGTCACATGCCAATTCCAGCATTGTTATTCCAAGACTAAAAACAAAATTATAATAAACTAGTTAATCAGTAGTGTATTAGTACATTACATATCTTCTGCTTGCCAATAATAAAGCTACACCAGAAAAGAGTATACACCATTCTATACATCGTTGTTCATGGTATGGCGACAGATGCTGTTGGCCCATGACACTACAAGGTTCTGTGCCATAGTGCCATGGACTAGCAATGTCTTTTGCAATAACAATAACAATAGTGTTAAGCCGGGCTGACACAATTTTATGGAGAATGGAACACAGTGACAAGTGCGCAACGGATCGTTTTTAATGAAGATCTGTCTGCTACCGTCAATAAGCAGACGGTATCGCGTAATCTAGCGCTCACAGAGTGGAGTTGGATTCGTCGTACGATGCAGTGACTGCCCATTTTTAGTTGCATTATTGGATAGTGATAATAAAGACCAAAATATGATTGCATTGAGAAATAACAACATATCGCATGAAACCATTCGAGCACTTAAAATCCCACAAAATTGAACAGACTACAGACCTGAATATGTCAGCTTCCTTGCCAAACTTTCCTTGCAATAGTTCTGGGGCCAAGTACTTAGGATCTCCTTCCTGGGCATCAGAAAGATCACCCTGAAAATTGGAAATAACAAAACAGTATTATCATCAAAAACAGGGGATCCACTTTTGGTAAGTATAGAAAAAAAAAAACTAAACAAAACAAAAACAAAAAAATTGAAAAAAAAAAACGCCTCAGTTAATTTTGGTTGTCTAGAAAGCGAAATATTTCGCTAGGGCATGTCCCCAGACCCCCAGGCTGGTGTTATCTCGATCGGCCCCACTTTTGGACATCTCTTGATCCACCCCTGCAAAACATAGGAGTGATGTTTTGCCCTACCTGACATGCTATTGTACTGAATACTTGGTACGTTCCCAAATACTTACAAAAAAAAATTGCATGTGATTCGGGTGGGAATCGAAACCACAACCTCCAGATAACTGATAGTGACTAGTGTTGAATCCGATCCCCAAGTAGTAAAGGGCACTGAAAATGCTATTTCGATGTGTTTTACACCCATCCAAACCAGATACCAATCTCGTACCATGCTCAAAACATGAAATACTGAAGAATCATTAAAACATGTTTCTTAATGATTCTATTCTTGCTCAAAGTAAGTCTTTACTTAAACTTGACAAAACATATACCTACCAAATACTACACACCCACCTTATTATAGTCTAATGCAAGACCAAAATCACCCAACTTGCAGACACCATCATAGGATAGGAATATGTTATCAGGCTTGATGTCCATGTGGAGCAGGTTGTGTTCGTGCAAGTTTTTCACTCCCTACCAGTTCAAAGAAAATGTCAGTGTCATATTTTCATTTTATTTATTTATTATTTATTCATTTACAATCTCAACAACATGCAAATTATAGAAAGGAACTAACAAGCAAAAACATAAATGAAAATAAAAATACTTTATACAATCTTAAATGATTTTGCAACAAAAACATTTAAAACTACCAATGAAAAGGTCAATTTAATTATTTTTTGCACACAAATATTAAAAAGTTGACTTTTTTTTTTGGTAACACTGAATCTACAATACGGGACGTATAACAGATTACATTTAGAATGACGGGTATGGAACCAACAGCTTTTAATATGATTTTATTTTTTTCTGCTATTGTGGTTTCATTGTGAATTTTTTTTATGCCTTTTCAAATTCTGTAAACATTTTTTCACAATTCAGTTTTTAAACTGCTAGTAAATTTTGTTGTGATTTTCGATGTTTGTGTTCTATGAATAAAGATACCTTGACATATATATCACAATCAAAATTGAAATTCACATACTTGTACATAAAAGTGATAACTAACAACGAACAACGGAAATCAAGGGATAATGGAAGTGAAATAGACAAGGGGATATAGCTTCAAGGAGATACCTCATTGTCGATTGATATTAGCATTATTATCACCATTATTATCATCAACACCATCATTACCTGAAGTAAATCAATCAGTATTTCCCATGCCTTGTCTTCTGTGATGTCATGGTTTGTGTCTGTAAAATGCTCTAAACTGCATACATGCATCAAAATAAAATGAAATATCATTCAAGCATATATTATGAATTGCAAAATAGTCAAAACTATTTAATCCAAAAAACCCCACAAAAATCCATTAACACTTTCATTGCGACTTACGCAATTGATTAAATGTCAAAACAAAATATATGTACTAATTACTTATTAAATAGCTTAATAGAAATGAACTAATAAAATCTATAGCTGGAAGGGAAATATGTATAAATGTTTGAGAGATATATCTCATACTGGACCTTGTTTGACAGATTTCTGTCTGAATGTAAAGATGACCTTTCTCTGCCCATGCCTGATGAAACTCAACACAGTTAGGATGCCTTGACAAAGCCTCCAATTTTTGCACCTCTGCTAACTTCCTCCTCCTTACAGATAAAAAAAATAATACTGGTTTTATTGATACAGTAAATTGTCGAAGTATACACAAGATCTAGGACAGAAAGATCTGATGTATATTTTGATGTAGGTTGGTAAATTTGATAATTTTTGTAAAATTGTTGTTAGATTAGCAAGATCAGAGAACTCTACATAAAAATACTTACTTATCTGCTTCTCCCCGGAAACGATCTCTCGATCGTTTCACTGCATATATTTTCCCATCTTCTTTACTTTTAACTTGAAAAACCTTAAGAAAATGTAAATTAAAGGAGTTTGTAATACAAATTTTGTATTCATTAGCAAGATTATATTTTTATAATCATTTTACATCAACATGGTAGACTTTAAATACAAGTAAACATATATTTTTCAATGAGGCGACAATGCAATGTTTAGCCTACAGTACATACCTGTAAATAAAAAATTATTTAAATTAAACTATAAAAAGAGAACATAAAAAACACTATTAAAAAACACCATTTACCTCTCCAAAAGAGCCTTCTCCTAGTTTGCGCTGAATTTCAAAACACTGATCAAAAAAGAGTCCATTTGAACTGGCATCATAAATCGGACTTTGAAGCTTTGCTGTATCAAGTTAAGATGTAAAGATAATTAAATTGTGACTAGCTATCAAAGTTGTGAATAGCCTACACCACAATTGTGGGTACATTTCTTTATTGTAGTTACATACCACATCTGAGTTTATCCCCCCACCCCACACACCCCCAGTTTAATTTTAGATATCCTACCTTTAATTTGATGTTTTAAACAGTATGTAATGTTATGATGGTTGATACTGATGTTATGTTACAGAATTTATCATTGAACCTCTTTGTGTTAAATTTTGAAAATTCAATGAATGAAATAAAAAAATGTGGTTTTTGCAACACCTTTCACAAAGATGTTCAGTAGTACAAAGGAAAATTTGTTTGCATCATTAAAAATGAGTATATTACATAAAATAAAAGAGCCATATGCCTTTTGAATGCCTCAAAATAATAAAGATGTTTGCAAAACATGGCAACATTAAGTATTCATTTATTTATAAATCATGCAATATAGGTAGGCCTATGCATACAATATCATGTTATTAATTATTAAATTATATGACATTATCTCAATACACTGATATAATTCAATTTCAACAAAGTTCTTACAAATATTAGGTTGTTGAAATATTTTTATTCAAAAAGATACAGTTATTAGCATCTATGAAAGAAACGCTGTGGGCTCGTAGGCACTCATTTTTGGTCTTGCTAGGAAACAGTCTGCTGACAGGTGGTACACTTTTGAGAGGAGGCCGAGGTGGTGGCGCATCACGAGGTGTTCTTCCTACATCCTGTCAATATATAATTTATCATAAAAACATACATTTAAAAAAAATATATAAATATTGAAGTTCATTGCTGAATTAAAACGTTAGTTAAGTAAGAATATAATATATTCTTACTTAACTAAACATTTTAATTAAGCAATGAACTTGACTTAGCCTATGTTGACCTAGGCTAGGGTCACCTCTAGGCCTACATAAACTACAGTACTAGGGCACTATAAATGATGTATGTAGGCTGGGCGCGTCTGCGTAGAGCACCGCCTACTCATATGGATAAATCGATAAAATCATAAAAAAAATCAATCAATAATTTCAGAAAATGATATAAAACAATTGCTAAAAATGCTGGTCAGTCAGATTAGCTATGTATCAAGGATAGGCCTAGGTACTCTAGGCTGGGACTAATCGATTGACAAAGAATGTAATCAAACAAATGCAGTAATTAACTAAGAGGTAAACCGAGCTAGCTAGGCCTAAGGCTAGGCCCCTTTGACATACTGAACAGTGAACCTCTCTCTGCTCATACCTTCTTGTGAGAAAACACGGCTCGTTGAGATAGAAATTTAGGTGTCGGCCTTGGGCTTTTGAATAAATCCTTTTCAGCTCCCAGATCCATGACAATATTCATCGTCAACTACTGATAATATTTGAATATTGATGATCCTTTTTAACTCATCACTATCTTACTAATTGTGGTAAACATGGGCCTAGGCCAACCCTTCTACACCAGAAATCTTGACTTTGCGGTGTTTGTTTGTGTGCCTGCAAAGTCCGCGAAAAATCAAAATTCTCCGTCTGCTATCAAAATTGTGGAACAATCTAAAGTTTACTTTATTAGTAGTTTTAAGACCGCATTTTAAGATTAATATAACAGTATATTCTAGAAATAGCTTTATATATTTTTATTTTCATTATTGTATCGTTTTTAGTTTAAAAAATTCAAAATATTTTGTAACATAATATAATTTATATGACCGAGACAGGGATTTCCCAATGATGTGACGTCATTTTGATGCTGCCTGCGAAACTGACGTGGAATAGAAAAGCAATATGCCTTCTGTTTGTGGTATTTAAACATAATTACTGTACCCTAGGCTAATCATCTTCTTTACAGCGAAGTGTTTGCTGTCAAAATGAGGCGGGCTGGTGGGTGCATATTTTTTCTTGACTTTTTTGAATAGCATTTTATTATGAAACCCATAAAAGACATACCTAGGCCTAGGCTCCGTCTGCTTAGTCAGTCTGTTCTCATTTCAGATAGAATAAGCAAAGCAGACCTAGGGCTAGGCCTATGCTGGACACCTGTCTACAAGGAAGTAGCTAGGCCTAGCCTACCTTACCTTGAGTGATAAAAAGAGGCATTGAGCTCAAAGCTCGTAATAGTTGCCTCTTCTCCTTTTGTTCAGATTGTAAATATCGAGGTTGTTTTTGAATGCATTTGTGTTGTGCTGTTAACACGTAGGCTAACTAGGGTTTCAGATAACTATTCAGTGGGTCTTTCAAATAGTATATATTTCTAATGGTTCCATGTAATAAATGTTAATTATGCTACCCTGGTTCTTTTATTACAGTAGTTAATTGTTTACTGTGGTGATGTAACCCTGTAATTGTAATTGTATATATCATTGTTAACAATGTCTTAATAATAATTTTCAATTTCAATTGTATTTTTTTTTACTAGTGGACAGCAGTGTTGGTCCATCATATGATAATAATCATATTCAAGAAGAGAATGAACAAATGACACGGGAACTCCAAACAAAAGTGTCAGCTTTGAAATCGGTAAATAAACAAAAATATTTAAACTATTCATACTTATTAACTCTGTACCGTATTAGCAGTCATGTAATCAATTTGAATTTTCTTACTTCTTCTACAGCTAAGTATAGATATGGGAGCTGAAGTGAGGGAACAGAACAAAGCAATCAATGATATGGTAATTTTTGTACATTCTGTATTTGTTATTTATAATATAATTTAGTATTTGACTTGCTTTAAATATTTAAGTAAGTTATTAGCTTTGGAAATTAAATAAAGAAAATATTTCCTTCACCATTTATAAATACAGTACTGTAAAATTCATTGTAACTTAGTACTGTTAATTGAAAATGGGAACCAGTCAATTCGAGCGGATGCCACTTCGAGCGAAGGCCAATTCAAGCAGATTCGAGCAGCATTTTTTTTGAGCAGATGCTAGTTTGAGCGGAAGAAAGTTCAACTTGTGCAAACAACAACCTGTGCGAGTTATATATGAATTACTTCAAAATTTCATATTTTTGAGCTAAAAATTTGACATTTTCAAAGGGGAAGGGGGCACACAGCAGTTCCAGAATAGATAAGTGAGTAGCATAACTCAATTACAAATATAATTTGAGCTAAAAATTTGACATTTTCAAAGGGGAAGGGGGCACACAACAGTTCCAGAATAGATAATAATAATAATAATAATAATAATAATATTTATAAAGCGCACATCTCCACCAAAGGTGCTCACTAGATAAGTGAGTAGCATAACTCAATTACAATTACAGCTACCCCACTTTGTTTACAGTGAAAAAAATAATGGTTACTCGTCTTGTGTGTGTGCTTCTCGTGCACTCTAGTAAAACATACACTTTCTTCTTTTTTAAGCTGAAAAGTGTGCAGTTCTATTATAGTTTTAACTTGTTAGCGGCCATCTTGGTAGTCGGAGTTGCCAAGACTGTAATTCAAACATGGAGTAATTATCAAAAAGTACTAAAAACCTTTCAGGACCTTAGTAATCAGAGCATTTTTGCATTTAAAACAAACAAATACAAGAATATGGCAACGATAAATTTGCCCTTGTTATAGTTCGCACTAAATGCATCCGCTCGAACTGCCATCCGCTCGAACTTGCATCCGCTCGAACTGACATCCGCTCGAATTGACTGGCATCCATTGAAAATTACATTCCATCAATAGAAAATATGTAACAGCGCCCTCTATTGTTTTAATTTTTTTTTTCTAGACTTGATCCATACATGGAGGAAATATATTAAGATATCTTAATATATTTCCTCCGTGATCCATACTGTATTCCTTGGTAATCAATTATTTATTGTACTAATTACAATTGATACTTATTTAAATGTTATCTTTAATTAACCATTATTTAAATGAAATATAATATTTTTTCTACATATCTAGGGAGACTTCTTTACAAAAAGCCAAGGCATTCTACAATCATCCATGAAACGTTTAGCAAAGATAGCAACAGGAGGACAAAACAAACATCTTTTGTGGCTTTTCTTTTTCTGTTTATTTATATTTCTTGTTATATATTTTATTATTCGCTCAAGGTAAAACTCTGTTTATTCCATAGTATTCCATATAATTTTATATTGTACTAAAGTATTAACTTTATGAATTATTATATCCACATTGAATCAGCCTGCAATTTTGTCCTAATAATAGTCATTAATTTATTTTTCTCTGTAACTTTAACTACGTTTTTGAAGATATACTGTATTGTTGAGCTCCTGTTTAAAAAAAAATTGAATTACTTCCTTTGTTTCAATTGAAAAGTAGGAGCAAACTTTTTTTGTCAATTAACAGATGCATTAATAATACCAATATGATTATTGTAAAGGCCAACTGAGACAGTGCTGTACGATCCAGTCCAACGTGATTTATCATCGGGAGTGGCCTTTAGGTTTTCCTGAGAATATTAAACACATTTAATATTCTGCGATGCTACTATCCGTAAAACAGACCTATCGCATCAGCATTTAACTCACACAGACCCGTTGTGACAGCCTTTATGACGGTATTTCTCCATACCTTGCTTAATTTCATAATAATGTCAGTCCTGTATTATTTGTATATATTCCTTAAATTGGCTTGCAGACAATTCAATCATTTATTAGTACCGGTATATATAATTTGATTATCAGTATTTAAATTTTCAAATAGTCTTGATATACAAAATGTGTACAATCTTGTCATACACGAGTTTGAATATTAAAATATTGTAGACTTAACTCCTTTTAACTTTTTTTGTCATTTTGTCATTAGAAATTTACTTTTTATGTCATGTAAATACATTTACACTTTTTCCTTTTATAAGAACCAGAACAAATTTTGCACAGACAGGTGATATATTTTTTGCCGATTTTGGGCTCAAAATTTTCTTATTTTTCAAACATAGACAATTTTTATTTACAGGAGTATACTGTATTATAGAGGGTATTACATAGTCGCATCTACTGCAGTAAGGTACAGATAAGATTTGTTGGTTTTTGTATTTCTTTAAAAATATAAACCTCATTTGATATTTTACCTCAGCATAATTTTTTTCTTATTTTGTCCTTAATGTTTGAGCAATTTCAGCTTCAGTGTTCTGATAAAATGTGTTCTTATAAAGAGAAAAGTGTAGTTGCTGTTTCTTATATTTTATATAAGTATTACATTATATGGTTTTGTACTGCTTATGAGTATCAAAATTCCTCCATTTCATGTTGTGAAAGGGGGGGGGGGTGGTGTAGGGTTGCCAACGTGGGGTTTTGCATAGATCCCTCATCCCCTGCACTTGCTCCGCCTGATCATATTAGGAAAATCGATGAAATAAGCCTCTGAAACCCCTAATTGTCATATATTTCAGGGGCTTCGCCCCTGGACCACTCTCCAAACATTTTAATCGACGACTTACCACGCCCACTTCGGGCCACCCCAGTATATTTCCCCCCTAAAATTATACAGTAATTATGTTAATTAGGCCAAAATATCACCAATTAGCTTGTGTTGGTTATTAATCTCTGAATATTATTCCCAGAGTAAATTTCAATGATATTATATTAATCTAAATTAAATCATTGTCTGTCTGGACTGAATACCAGCCTGTAATTTCAGTGTCTAACCTCACTGATCTGTAAATTTGGTATCACAAAACAAAGACCTTTAGGTCGTCAAGGTAAACCCTGGTACTCCAGGTCAGCAATTCAAAACAATTGAGGAAGTCTACCTGTACAAATTGCTCAGACGATTCTGCGACCCTGGAAATGACAGCCCTGGATCGCCAGGTTTTACCAGTTCAAGGGTCTGTGCAAACACGGTCCTATATTTATGTTTCAAGCATGAGTTATTATGAATAAGCAATTAGTGATTATTATTATTATGTTGATAGTATGACTGATAGTGTTGTTTGATTGAGATCAAACTTTTAAATTAATTAACCATATGGCAAGTCCCAGTGAGTTGCAGCAGGGAGTTACAGATATTTTATTCGCACGGCGTCATGGCCTAATTACAGTATCGTTTTTCATAATTGTTATAAGTTATTTAGTATTTAAATGTATTTTGTTGTGAATACTGTTACCAGTGACGTAACATTAATTAGCTCTCAGACACTGACTATAACCAAAGAGTATAAATAGAACAAGAGAGCAAAGTCCCGTTCGTAAAAACGTCACGCCTGTGTAGGACGCCCACTAACGGTTGTATATTCTTTTTATTACCCAGTGCGCGATTTTTTTTTCCGTACGAAACATTTGCATGAAACTTCACTCGGGCCATCTCGGATTGACTCGACCATTTTGGCAGGTCTTATGGCATCCAGTATTTTAGAGCTGCCTATTCTCAGCTCTTCTCTTAATTTGAAAATAACTGTCATTCTGTTTCATTTGATCAGATGAAGAAAAACGCGCTTTTCCTTGCTCTTTGTGCTTTTCCCAGAAAACGTTTTTAGTAGGCCTAGGTAATTATGCAAAACCCAGGCCTAACTAAAAAATTAAAATTGTCATAGTATGTAACTCAAGTTAAAATAACACTTTTCATTACTCGTGCAGCTTAATCAAATATTATATAAACGACCCATTGGTATTAACACGGTAACATCAATGTATTTTTTAAAAATTAGACAGCGACGTTCTCTCAGAGGTTGTTCTGTAGACGTTTATCTGTTAATGACCTTTTGACCTCCTGAATTCTGCAATGAGATTTTCGGGTCGATTCAGCCGAGACGGCCCGAGTGGAGTTTCATGTAAATGTTTCGTACGGAAAAAAAATCGCACCCAGTGCAGCGCTGCGCAGCGCGGTAGAAGTACGCCCGCTATAAAGCAGCGCGGTAGAAGTACGCCCGCTATAAACTCAGTAAGCAGAAAACAAAAGTACAGTATCTTGTGGAGAACAGATAAACAGACAAACCGACCGTGCGCGGTGGAGAGTACTGGTTATAAACATAGAGCTATTAAACAACTAGAGTGCTAACAAGATGGCGCAGCAATGCAGAGTTATGTATGTGTACCATCCAAGATGGCCGTCGTAGTAAAGCGCCACCTTCAGGCTTAGTATACATATTATTACATATTAATAAGCCCTCTGAATGACTATTATTTCATTAATGATAATGAGTAATGATAATAACAAATTATCAAACTATTGTAGCCAAAACGAAGCCAAGTGGAGCATCTTATTCAAAAATAAAGTACCAAGGAATAAAAATTAAAATCGTGTACATTACACCCAAACACCGCAACGCTCGAGTTTCAAACATACGGATAACTAGCTGTACCATAGAGATATAATAAGAATACTAGAGCGCTAACAGCAATGTAGGCCTATTCGATGTTCGAAATACGCAGAGCTATGTGTGTGTACCATCCAAGATGGCTGCCATAGATTCAGCCAATCAAATTTCCCCTGAGCACTATCATTTTCAATTGCGCCCTCAATTTACACAGAAAGTTCAGTACATTATTTACCCCTATTTTGAAACTCGAGCGTTGCGGTGTATGGGTGTAATGTACACGATTTTAATTCTTTTTAATATTTGAATAAGATGTTCTACTTGGCCTCTTTTTGGCTACAACAGTTTAATAATTTGTCATTATCAAATCATTAATGAAATAATATTTAGTCAGAGGGCTTATTTATGGTAATAATATGTATACTAAGCCTGAAGGTGGCGCTTTCTTACGGCAGCCATCTTGGATGGTACACATACACAACTCTGCATTGCTCCACCATCTTGTCAGCACTCTAGTTGTTTAATAGCTCTATGGCTGTACCGAACTTTCTGAGTAAATTGAGGGCGCAATTGCAAACGATGGTGCTGAGCGAATTTTGATTGGCTAAATCTATGGCAGCCATCTTGGATGGTACACACACAGTTCTGCCTATTTCGAACATGGAATGCATTGCGGTTAGCGCTCTAGTATTCTTATTATACCTCTATGGTAATAAAACACATACAAGCGTTAGTTGGCGTCCTACACTAGCTGCGTATGGGCGTATCGTTTTTTTACGCTCTCAATGAGCGTTGTTGGCTCTCTTGTTCTATTTATACTCTTTGCTATAACCAGGTAGGGACCCAGACCAGGGGGATGGAGCTTGAGCTGGGCCTCCGTCAGCAAGGAAAATACCATTGTAAAACAATGTATTTGTACATTCTTGTTAGATTCGATTTGATAAGCCTTTCCTGTCGTCATGCTTTCATGGACCCTTCCGAGATATTTTAAGTGACGCCCGACCACGCCCATTAAAGCATGACTTTCATACAATCACTACACGCTATCGCTGACAACTTTTGGTGAAAAATACACAAGAGTAGTCACTATATATCGAAATAACGGAATAACTATAATTCGACTTTCATATCCTGATTGGTCGATCGAATCGCGGAGCCTTCCTGATTGCGTCGGGGACTGACTGAAGCTTGCTTTCATACAATCTCTACACAGTCGATACAGCATTTTTACTGCAATCGTAAAGCCTGGCTTCCATAGAACCACTACAGTGTTTTCAGTGCAATGCAATCGTACTGCGTAGCAGTCCCCGACGCAATCGGGAAGGCTCCCCGATTCGACCGACCAATCAGCATCACCGAAAACTGTCGGCGATAGCGTGTAGCTATAGGAAACCAAGCATCTGTCCCAACCTAATCGGAAAGGCTCCCTGATTCAACTGACCAATCAGCATCGCCAAAGGAGTTGGCGATTGCGTTCAGCGATTGTATGGAAACCCAGCTTGAAGCTTGGTTTCTATAAAATCGTTACGCTGCCACTACAGTGTTTTCAGTGCAATCGTTGAACTGCATAGCAGTCCCCCGATGCAATCGGGAAGAATCCCCGATTCGACCAATCAGCATCACCGAAAGCTTGTATAACGTGCATAGCAATTGTATAGAAACCAGGCTTAACACTCGTCTCGTCCGGGATGATCCTGGCCCGCAGTCGGGGACAGTCGACCCTTGTCTGGCAAATCATGGCGCTACCACTGATAGTGAAAGATCGGTTTCCATACAATCGGCGACAGTTGTTGTTCAACTTTGCCGATTGCGCTGCAGACGAATCCGCCCGGGTGCATTGCTAGCTGCCATGACGCAAATCAGAAGGAAGGCATCCCGTTCGTCTACAACGCAGTCAGCAAATTTAAACCAGATTCAACCTTCCCGACAACTGCAGGGCCGGCAGAACGTTTTCGAAATTAGGGGGTGGGGGGGATAACGGGAATGTTAATTGCGAGGGAACACTTGCGCGACCGAGCAGCTCACAGTAGGGTCCATGTGGGACGCCTCGCAAGGGTCCAGGGTTATACGCAAACTCTGGGATTTTAGACATTAGTAGGCTACAGTTTGACGGGCTTATTTTGCAGATGAAAATGTGACTCGGTCGGGGACTGGATAAACGCTTTCATTCCCCTCCCTCTCCTCCTTCCCTCTTCAGGGGAGGATCTGGGTTCAAATTTAGTGGGGCCCGTGGGTGTCAGAAGGTTTCCCAAAAACACCAAAAAGGAAAGGGGGTTCGGGGGTCCTCCCCCGGGAAATTTTTATTCATAGATGGCGGGAAATGATCATTCCCGACTTTTGAGTGTTTTAATGTCTTGAAAACGGTCAGGTAAACTTTCTCATTCTTATCACAGTAAATAAGCCTGTTATTTGTGTATACATAGGCCTACATAAAAACACATTGAGTAGTTGCATAAGTATGTATTCTTTTTTTCTAAGAATTGATAAACCGGGGGTTCGAGGGTTCTCCCCGGGAAATTATTCCTAGATGGCGGGAAATGAGCTTTCCCGATCCCGACATTTGAGGTGTGTTTTAATGACTTTTACGTTCTTCAAAATTCAAGGTTTTTCCCCTCTTGAAAACGGTCAGGTGCGTAAACTTTTTCATTTATATTACAGTAAATACGCCTTTTATCTCTGTATATACTTAAAATCACATTGAGTAGTTGCATACAGTACTTATTATTTTTCCCATGAATCGATAAATCCAAAACAGAAAGAGGGGACGTTCTCCCCCTGGAAAATTTTGATTTAGATGGCGGGAAATGAGCTTTCCCCGACTTCTGAGGTGTCTTTAATGACTTTCAATTTCTTAAAAATTCAAGGTTTTCCCCCTTTTGAAAACGATTCCATGAATCGATGAACCCCAAGAGAAAGGTCGTCCGGGTTCCCCCCGAGAAAATGTTGATTTTTTAGATGGCGGGAAATGTGTCTTTTATTGACTTTTAAGTTCTTTAAAATTCAGATCCGCCAATGTTCTTTCTTTTCTTGCATTTCTTTCCGATCATACAAAAATCAGAATAGACTACATTTTTTTTTTTATCTTTCGTGGGGAACACCCACATTTATTCAAACAGTTTTACATAGTTTCTTTATCATCATCATCATCATCATTTACATATAAAAATACATTCCTCAATAAACCTATGCCTAATAAAATACAACAAAATAACCTTGATATTTAGTAACAATATTAAAAATAAAATGCAAATTTCAACTTTTCACAATAAAAATGGAAGAAAGAACATTGAGAATCCCAGTATATAATATGAGGCAAGTCATTAATATGAAGCACATCATTATACATCGTAAGCTTTACAACCAAAATTCTTCTTTTAATCATAGATTCGTTAGCATTAAGGCCATCTATAAAATATGAGGATAAAAAAAAATACAGCGATCAATGCCCAAAAAAGTATCAAAACGTACAAGAGAGTAAAAAGACATTACTTTAATTTTTAAGAAAGCGTTATAGATAATGTCTGTTATTTTTTTCAGTTAGAAAGAGGGTGTGAAGTGATCTATATCGCCACTTGTTGAGGGCTTTTAAAATATTTGCCTTGTAGATAGAAAAAAAAATGCCAAGTGAGAATAGATGGTCAACATATGTGTTGCCAGTTCCAAGAATGATGTTCTTAAAATGTGCATTGTATCCGTACGTAATGCTAAAACTTTCAATGTATTGCCATATCTGGTTTGCCTCAGTGCATTTATAAAAAAGGTGTACATCATCTTCAACAACATTACATATTGGACACATATTGGAATCTAAGATTCCCCACATAAACAATCTTTTCCTTGTGGGAACGATATTGTGTAAAATTTTAAAATTCAATTGTGCTAATTTGTTCTCTTTAATTGATTTTACTTTCCATGTCCAAGTTGTCTGCCAGTCAACTGAGGACTCAAAAATATTTTCCCACTTTTTTTGGCACTTTGAAGGTTCCATATAAATTTGGTTAGTAAAAGAGATATAAAATTGTTTACAATTCATATTGCACCAATCATTTTGTGGTCTAGTATTTCCTGACCGTCCACCATTCCCTTCTTTACCAAAGGAAATAAATGTTTTCAATGTGCTAGGAATGGCACTCAGCAAACAAGAGTATTCTGAGATCCAGTTGGACTTGAGTTGTAGTTTTGTCAGTATCTCAAGTATTGTAACAAATCTATTGCCTATTACTATAACTCTAATAGTATTTATACCTGATCTAATCCAATTTCTAAACAGCAAGGAAAGCCCATTAAATTTAATCATTTTATTACCCCAAATTTGTTCGTCTAACACTTCTTCATGATGAAGAACACACTGATTCAGGTGTGCTAAATCGTAAAGTAACGTTTGATAAAATGTAGGTATTTTCTTTAGAACTTGCCATTTCTTACACAATGAAATGTTCATAATAATATTCTGTGGACCAATTTTATCTAAGATCCAAAGAGGTAGATATTTCCACATGGCTAGATCTTTATTGTAAAGACGCTTAAGCCAAGCAATTTTCAAACATTTAACCTGTGACCTGAAGTCAGGAGCTTTTATGCCTCCAAGGCTGTAATCACCAATTAGTGTTAGTCTTTTTATTTTTTCTGTCTTCTTATTCCACAGAAAATCAAAAATAATCTTTTCAACTTGTTTTATATAAAGCTCTGGCATTTCAATAATACTTTATTGTATATAAGTCCAAGTGTTTTTAATATTGTAACTTTTCCGAAAAATGTCAAGTTTCTTTTTTGCCATGAAGAAAGTAGGTGTTTTAATGATTCGATTTTTTCAGACCAGTTTTTGGTGCGACAAAAAAGTTGATTATGACCAACATAAACACCAAGTATTTTAAAGCCATTGTAAACCCACTTTATGTCAAACGGTTCATCTTTTCTTGTTTTCCATTTACCTAACCACATGGCATTTGTTTTCTTTTTGTTAAGGCTTAAACCAGAAAGCTTTCCAAACTCTTCAATTTTTGAGATACTCCTTTTAATCCCCAACTCATCTTTCACAAACAGTACCGTATCATCAGCTAGTTGGGCTGTTTTGACTTCAATAATTAAGTCTTCTTTACTTGGTAATATGATACCATTAATCAGAGCATCACTTCTTAATTTTATTGCCATGATTTCTGCAACCATTATAAACAGCAGAGCAGACAGAGGACAGCCTTGTCTGATGCCCCTATTCATTTTAAAACTTCTAGATAGCCAACCACTATTCGTTATAATGCATTCCGTTTCAGTATACAAAACGTTGACCCAATCAATGAATGATGGGCCAAAGTTAAAGTGACGAAGCGTTTCCATCATAAAATCCCTGTTTACCGTGTCGAATGCTTTACTAAAATCCAAGCTAATCATTGGGCCTGTTAACCTTTCTTCATTCGTGTATTCGATCAAATCCTCTATTAATCTAATGTTTTCGCCACCGAAACGACCTTTTATATAACCTTTTTGATCATTACTAACTATACTGGTTATAACGTTTTGTAATCTTTTTGTTAAAACAAAGGCAGCTATTTTGTAATCTACATTCAGGAGAGTTATAGGCGTCCAGTTGTTTAAGTCTTCATGCTCACCCTTTTTAAAAATAAGATTGATTACGCCTCTACGTTTTGAGTGGGACAACGATCAAGTTTTCAGGATGTTAAGAGCATCGCACACTATTGGACCAATTTTTGGCCAGAATTGCTGGTAGAATTCTACAGGGAGGCCGTCTGAACCTGGAGCCTTATTTTTTTTTCATTTCTTTTACAGCATTATGGCATTCACTTAAAGTAATATTGCCTTCATATTCCTGCCTTTCAGCATTTGTTAATTTTTTGGATTTTATTGATTTTAAGTATATTTCGACATTTTTCTTTTGTATAGAATAGAATAGACAACATACATATTTTCTGCCAGGGCTTCTGCCGGCCATGAACTGTCGGCGACTGTCGTCGATAAAGTGAGCGATTTTATGGAAACCGAACTAAACCCATAAATATCGCGTCAAGACATTGCGCATAATATGCGTGTGTTAGCCAATCTTGGCCATGATTTATGCGAACTAGAATTTTATTGGCCAGCATCAGTCTTAACAGACTATAAACTTGAAAGTGCGTAATGATAACGTGTTCTGTGCCATGGTCTGTCTGTCTCATTTTTAATGATCTGTGAAACCATGGTGGTAATACTTACAAATACAACTTCGATGGTTTACAGGGACGGTATTGAGCAAAATATGATTTACAGGCAGTGGCGTATCTAGAGGGTGCCTCCCCTAAATATGCTCGCCCGCCATGCTCTTTTGAATGTTTTTACGCATCTTCTGATTGTGTGTCTGAATAGGAATTTCTGGATTTCAGCTCGCTTTGCAGCGCGCACTTATGATGGCGGGGTGGCGGGGTCCATAATGGGGGGGGGGCAATGCCCTGCCCCGACGAGGTGTCAGATTAAAAGGTTTCGAAAGTGGTCCAGGGGGCGAAGCCCCGAAAATTTTGACAATTTAATGGTTTCAAAGGCTTATTAATAATATTATCTCAAGCTGAAAAAATGCACAGGAGAAGGCGTATCTTATACTGTACTGTAGATCTCTGGCGGTTTGGTAACAAAGGCTTATTTAATCGATTTTAGAGTCTACTAATATGTAGAAAATACATTGAGCTTTTTTTCCTCCACGACGAATTGTGCTTTTTCTCCCCGGCGGGGGCCCTGCCCCCCCCCCCCCCCCACCTCCGATGGCGCCGCCCCTGTGTTGCGTTGACATCTGTTCATTAAATATTATTATTATAGTCATACCTGCATTGAACCTGCCCTTGATTCAACTTTCTGATTAGTCGTTAAATCTAATTTGAGATTTCATTTACAAATCCAACTGATAGATTAAGAAGCGACGATGGAATGAGTTTATGTTAATGAACTACCGTACCTTTAACTTTAATTAGTTCAAGAATGTGTCCGACTAAGGAGAAGAATTCTGACCACGTAAAAATAGCAACTTCAAATTATTACTTTATCTCATAGCCCCTAATGAAATATGCCTATTCACTTGTTACATTACTTCCAACCACTTTAGTGTAGACGCTCATCCTCTTTAGTACCGAAGGTTTTATGATTTGTGAAAAGTTCAAATGCATAAATTGCCGCCAAGATATTGATTGAAAGCATTTAAGAGGTAGGCCTATGGTCACCGCAATTTTAATTTCCAAGCTTGAGAGTGCTAAAAGCCAACGATTTTGTTGCAATTGAGAATGCCAACATGAAGTGCGGTGTGACAAAGAACAGGTCGTTTTCCTCTTTACTCTTTAGATGTGTTCGCCGTATCGGCTCAGTCACTATTGCCTGTGATTTTCAGTAAGCCTTAGCCACCAAACATTTTCTATATAAAAAAGAAGAATGTTTTCAACTACTTTTGCTTGTCTTTTAGTTGCTACGGTCTGTCGCTCTTATGAAATTGGTAAGTAATTAATGTTCATAGTTTTTAGATTATATTGTGAATCAATCACCTTTTGAATATAAGTATATGCTTTTTTTTTATCGCAGTTTACCGACAGTACAATGTAACAGGACTTTTAACTGTACAGATAAAAGTCCTTGATATAATACAGAGGCCTATATAGTGTTCTATCATTGAACTTAAATATACTACAGTTAAGTAAACTGACAGAAGTGTAAGGGTTTTATATGCAAAGATTTTCGTGCCGTCTGTTAACTGACGATAAAAAAATCTTCGTTCTTTAGCTCAAAACGGATCTTATTACCAACATTATTCAACGTATCTTCATGCAATCAATTTTTTATATAAAAAAATAGCATAAATGATTGGATGACACAAGCATGGACCTATCAATAGGTCCACGATACAAGTGAACAGTACTGAAAATTAATTAAAATATAGCATTAAAAAATCAATAACCAATTTAAAGGCAAAACATATATGTAACAATTTCAATTAAGAAGATTTAGAATGATATTGCATATATACCGTATTTGTTATTATTTAACAGTAGATATGAGATAATTAAGCCAGTGACCTAGGTCTATGATTGAGAAAGACCAATAACTGATGCTATTTAATAATTAAGAACACTTGTTTTCTTAGAAACTGTTAACTGTTACGAGTGTGACTCAGCCGATAATATTGAGTGTACAATCGATTCCCCATTTCTACACAAGATGAAAACAATTGAGTGTAAAGGTCTTTGTTTTGTAAGTATATAATTACTCATTATAAAACGAATTAAATTTGACATAATTCATTACGATATAGCCTACTTAGTATTCGAATTGTCATCGGGAGTGCGCGTTTCCTCCCCTTTCGTTTTCGCAGTTTGTTGCCATTTTTGGCCGCGTCTCACTTCATTACCAAAACGGCTTGTATATTATTTTTCTGTTTTTTAATATGATACGTGGTCTGACACTGTCAGCGCCTTGATTTAAGACTATTTTTTTTTTGTTATTGTGGATGGCCCTATACAAATATTCTCCCATTACCAATCTGGGAGAAACATATTTTCAAGATTTAGGCCTATGTTAAATTTTGATCGTAAACACTATACGGTACAGTAGTAAGTTTTGTGACACATTTTTACTTTGATAATATGATGGGCGTGATAAGGTCTGAAGTCATATCACACCCATATATGGGCATGATGATGTCATATAACGCCCATTATGGGCAAGTTACAGCTATTTGTCACTTAAAACTTAATAGTGTGTGGACATCATAATATGATGGGCGTGATAAGGTCTGAAGTCATATCACACCCATATATGGGCATGATGATGTCATATAACGCCCATTATGGGCAAGTTACAGCTATTTGTCACTTAAAACTTAATAGTGTGTGGACATGCCTTAAGTAGAATTCCATCTGCTTCATCACAGTACTTTTCAGTTGATTTGTTCTTGAAACTCTTTGCAAGACTCCGTGTCTCGGCCTACAACATCGCACCATGCTACGATTTGTGCTGATCTGTGTTGCGAGGGGATTTCCATGACCTTTCAAATTTAAATTTAAAAAAAAACTATCTTTAGGCTTTAATTTTAGATTTCAATATCTTAAATTGTTCCTTTACTGCCGAGTTTATTTTTTTACTTCGC